ATCACCTAGTGTTTCTACCTCCGCTAGAATTTGAACCTTAAGACCTCATTGTTCTTAACCCACTTCATCGATGCTATCATTTTCAAAGATCTTCCTTAAAATAGAAGACAGAAGGAAAAAATAAACTTCTTGCAGTTGTCAGTGTCTCGGCCCATCATATCATTTGTATATTAGTAGTAGATAATGAGTTTAACTTTATGTACGAACTGTTTAAAAGTTTCATACACTATCGTATCATTAAAAGGCCATTGCATATAATTAACCATAATAAGTCAATTTAGGATCATTAAATAACCAGACAAGTAACCTTCTATAGTTGGTGAAATTACACTATAGAGTAAAAATATCATCACAGTGTGACAGTGTCAATGGGCATATGGTAAATCCGTAGAAAATTGTGTAACTGAGTGTCTAAATTCTCAGTTTGTGTTGACAATTATCTCCCTAGCCAAAGATAGACTAAATCAATTATGCTATCAATGAAACAGTAACAGTATAGTAAAGACAGATCAATGCGATAAACTTATACTCAACAAGAGAGATAGAGAAAGAAAGAGATGAAGTAAGCAATATATACATCTACTATGAACATGGTTCAACCTGTATGGTTACATGATGAATTCTGTATGTCCTGTTACAATATTCCCTAACCTTCTGAATAATTTCATATTGGTCAACTCCAGGCTCAAGTACAACATGACAGGACAAAACAATTTTCCCTACAGTGATGGCCCAAACATGCAGGTCATGAACTTCCTGAAGTCCTGCTAAAGTTTTTAGGCCATTCTCGAGTTGAACAATATCAACTTCCTTTGGTGTCCTCTCCATCAATAAGGAGAAGATAGTTCTAAGCATGGGTATGGTAGTACTAAGAGCAAAGATCGAGAAAAATATAGTACAGAGAAGATCAACCACCAACCATTCTGGTTTGAACCACATAATAGCTCCAGCAATCATTACCCCAACGGATTGTATCAAATCAGATATAACATGCAGGTAAGCCCCTTCGATATTTATGTTCGTTGGTTTGCTGCAACTAGAAGCTGCTGATACCAGTTTTGAGCTCTCTTCATTTCTTGGATGCAATTCTTGCATTTCGTGATCATGATCATGATCCTTGCAAGGATTATATGAATGGCAATGGAGAAAATGATCATGGCCAAGCCACACAACTGAGACGAAGTTAATTATGAGACCAAATGCAGCAATAGCAAACATAAGCTTCCCATTCACTTTGGCTTGTGGATGAAACATTCTCTGAATTGCTTCATAAATCAGCAAACCGGAGACAAGCCATATTAGCTGTACAGATAGAAGGGCTCCTAAAACTTCAAGACGGTGGTACCCAAAAGAGTGTTCTTTTGTCACATCCCAGCCAGACACCCAAACAGCAAAAAGAGAAATAGAAAATCCAACAACATCACTGAGCAAGTGCGCTGCATCAGTTAGAACCGCGAGGCTGTGGGCTTTCACCCCTCCTATGGTCTCCACTGCCATCACCATTACATAAAAGATTATGAGCCCACAAAGTTTCATACTCGACTTTGACCTTTGTCTTGAATCCAACATACTATGCTCTTGCTCTGAGAATGAGCAAATTGGATTGCAACAAGGCTGAGCTCGCTTACTGTTGCCATTACATTTTGCTCCCAGCAATTGCTTTATTTCAGACTTGGAATCCTCCTGTTGCTCCATCTGTTTCAACATGTATTATAGTTAGCTAACTGTTTGAATGAAATACTAACAAGTATAACTGCAGCATTCGAGTTGAGAGTGAATTATCGGGAACTCTCAAGACTGCCATATATCAAAGTGGTGGGTAAAGATTCACTAGCATTGCACACAGTAGTGCATAATTGAAGCCTCGTTATTACACTGTTTGAGATGTCAACAACGAGAATAAGGAAAGAAATCAGTAGATAGAAATCCCTAGTTATTTTGTATGCCAAACGATCATCCGTAAATTTGAACAGTAAGTTGTAGATTGGACGTACTCAAGAAAAGTTAATGCAGCATTATGGACTAGATACTTTTTAAAAGTCATATGGAATAGATACATGTTTCAGCATTATTTTTGAAGTGTATATACATCATTATTAAGCTTATAATATCAAACAAGCATATTAATTAAGCACTTTTTGCCCATCAATAGCAGACTCACATCCCTTTCCATTTGCACAAGTATAACAACCAATAGATTTTTTCTTCTGCCGTCAGAAAAGGAGTCAAATGCTGTCAACTCTAAAAAGTAAATTGCTTGAAAGTCCTTTAAGCAGGTTATCAATTAATCTTGAGAACTCAGCATTTGAACTCCAATTTTTCTTCGTCAAGTTTTATTATTGCAACTGCCACTATACATCAATTTCAGAGCAGGGGCATCAAAATAAAAAACAATTCTCACCCACAATAAAAAGAGACATCTTCCGAGATAAAACCCAGAAAAAAGAAACATTCTTTTAATCAGGAGTAAATCAGAAAGAAGTAGATGAACGATGATTAAAATTCCACATACCCAATAATTAAGATTACAGAAAATAGAAACAAACTAGCAAAAAGATCGAAAGCACGATCTTTACCTGGATTCAGGACAAAAGAGAGAGAGGCCGGCAGGGGAAGCTAGGGCTTATAGCTGAAAATGAATAGATTGGGGACAAATTGGATTGAACAAACATTCTTTAATATGAAGCGAAGAGCCGGCGGAGTCAGAGTCCAATCATTCCGCTGAATGGGCACGCCAAAATTGATTCTTCTTATTGGTAATTGGTAATGGTAATGAGCGTGGCCGGACAGGAGAAGTATGTTGCATTTGCCAATTATGCCGAATGCTTTACATTTAACAATGGCGATTTATAGATTTATAAGTCACATTTTGACAACAACAATTCATAATGTCGCACTTGACAATTGCATTCACAAGTCGCAAATGTTTCATTGCATTTCGCAAATTATGATTTATAAATTTCTGTATTTTAATGTGATTGAAGCTAATGATAACTATCCATCTGTTTGGCCAATCCGGACAAATTAGCTTAGCACTCTAAAAAGTATTTTTGAGCAATAATTTGTGTTTGATAAACTTTTCAGAAAGTGCATTTAAGTATCAAATTACGAATAAAAACATGAATAGATTTACTTAATAGTTAATATTATAATTAAATAAATAATCTTAAAAATTTGTTATTACAAGCAATAATTAATTCTTTTCATTTTATTTAAGTAAAATATGAAAATAAAATTTAAAAGTACTGAATTCTTTTAATATAAGTTAAATATATTAAAAATTATTCAACAAATATAAAAATACTCACCCCTAAAGTCACTATATATTAGAAAGATATCCTAAAAATAATAAGAAATATTTATACATTAATATCATAAGTATTAGGTTTAACGGTTATTTTGGTATATATTATATTTTGTTAAGGGTATTTTTGGTAAGAAGAAAAGTCAAAACTGTTTCTGCTTTTAGGAAGAAGCTACTTTTTTCTGCTTCTCAAAAACTACTTCTGTTTCTTTCCAAAATTAGTTTTTTCCCCAAAAAAACTTGGTCAAACACCTCAAGTTAGGGAAAAAAAAGTACTTTTGAGAAAGAAAAAAAAAAATACTTTTGACTTCTTGAGAAGTTTAGTCAGACTGACTAATAGAAAGTATACAAATCATATTTCACATATGCATGTTGTATATTTTTAAACTCTCGTAAAGATTACACGTTAGTGAAATTTTTTGACCAAAAAGGCACATTTTGGGGGGAAATTTCTAATAATTTTGTAGTATTTTTAAAAAATGTAAAATGCATGTGTCACAACAGAAGATGAGTATGCTTCACACTATTTGTAAAATTCACAAAATGTAATAATAAATTGTCAATTTTTAGGTTTCTACTTTTTGGTAGACAAAAGTACCCTAAAAAAAAAAGTAGAGAGATATTTCTAACTTTACCCGTTAATTTAGCTGATTTATGTTGTTTTCATTGTTAGCATTAAAATGTACTATTCTAACATAAATAATTTGAGATTTATGTTGGCAATTTATAAATTGCATTTATAAAAGCAATTTAACAAATGACATTTACGAAATGCAAATGAAATTTGTATGTTGCGTTTCATAAATGCAATTTATGCATTTTAAGTGATGAAGATGGTTTTGTAACGTTTTAGCAACATATGTTGATTAGCAAATGATAGTAAAATTATACACCCGTAAAAAACTATAATCCTAACCTTATGAATCGATTACCCTTTTATGGCACACTGCCTCCCATAAATTTGAGTGGCTAAAAGAAATAATTATCATTGAATATTGTCCAATTGACTTATTTTCCCTTTGCACTTTGCCCCTCATATTTTGAACCTAGTAGCATTTAACAACCTATACTCTAAACATGTGTAAATGTTACTTTTTGTGTGAAAAAGAATTGGGAATTTTCTTAGGGGAGAGATTAATTCATGTGTTTTTCTGTGTTTTTTAAGCACTAGCCACGAAAGACAGTAACCTTATATTTATTTATTGTTTTGAGAACTTGTTTTTGAATTATCTTGCAATCTCCGTCGACAACGGATTTAATTATTTCTTTCTCTTTTTCTTTAATTTTTCACACACTTAAATCATATTGGTTCCGTTTACGATCTATAATATTTCAATAGCTGCAAATATCAACGTTTGCATTAGTATTATACTAGTTTGGCCAACAATTTTTACAAATACAAAATTTCGATACTTAAAATATCAATAGAATATTAAAAAACTTGTTCACACAGTATCTTAAATGACATAATGATTTACTCATAAATTTTAAACTTTAAAAAAAAAATTTCCCTTCAATTTGTAACTTCAATTTTTTTACATTTTTCTAGTACTAAAAATATTAGTCTTTCTGACAATTTTCTTTTCCTTTTCCCCTGCGTAAGGGGAAGGGGCAAGAAGAATAAAAAAAATAAAAATGATTAGTATTATTTTCTACGATATGTATCAAAAAGCAGTCACAAAAACAGAGTCAACGATGGGTGAGCAGGTGGTCAAGTGGCTTCAACGGTGACTTTTTAAAGGAAACCCTAGATTCTGATTGAACCTTAGAATATCAGATTTATAGCAATTACACTTATCATTTAGCAAAGAGCCACAAAAGAGGGTCTAAGGGCTGCACAGAATTCATCTGACTCCGACATCGGAGTTTGCAGCCCCCCAAACCCAAACCCCTCACCCCCAAAAATATCTCACACATCAGCCTCATTTTCTCTTATCCCACCAATAATATAAGCCATCAAAATCAAACCTTTACTCTTTCTTGTTTGTTTCTCCACGAGAAAAATGGGTTCTTGCGAAAAGCTGTAAACCCCATTTTCTTGTGATTCTTTGCTTTTTATTGGGTTTTTAGGTTTTGTTTACGGGGAGGGTGATGGCTCAAAATGGGCAGGGGATAGAACCTGCAGTTCTTGATGACATAATCAACAGGCTTTTGGAGTTTAGGAATGCAAGAACTGTTAGGCAGGTTCAGCTCTCAGAAGCTGAGATTCGATCCCTTTGTACTGCTTCTAAAGAAATCTTCCTTCACCAGCCCAATCTTTTGGAGCTTGAAGCCCCTATCAAGATCTGTGGTAAATCCCTGTTCTACCCCTCTTATTTCACTTACTTTGCATAGGCCTATCATTATGACATGTATGTTGGCCATCTCCCACCATTACAGAAATCGCCTACTCTTTTTTGCCTCTGCTGGGCATACTACTTCTATATGTAATTAATCTTAACTGCTAAGGGGGATAATAGTTGCATTTGATTTTGTCAAACTCCTTGTAGTTGTAATGCTTGAGGACCTTAAGTTTGTCTTTTAGGTGCTTATTCTACCTTGTTAAATGCAATAGATTATTGATGAATTTGAAAGTTGAGTTTCCTTGCGTTGAAACGTGCATGTCTGAGTCAGGATAAGATGAAAAGCTGCTTCCTTAAGTTTAATAAATTGTGATTTTTTTTGAGTTTTTAAAGGTTGGTTGCCAGTTTTCCCACTCATCTTTTATATTGGCTTACTAGCAGGCATGTGGCTTGTATTTTTAGTGTAAAAACAGAACTATTGATATACTTATGGGAGATAGTTGAATGGTAATATCTGCTTTTGGATGGCGTTGCCTTTGATATACTGCATATCCTTTTCGTAGTTCTCATTTTGTCTTTAGTAAGTAGCATGGCTCTTTCTATGTTTTCTGATAGGATTACCAGGTTCTTGATTAATCTATTTTGCTGTAGTTTGATAGGATATGGGAGAAGGGTTTAGAGTCCTTGTGTTTATCATTGAGATTGGTCTTCTAGTTCCTGAGAGATTGAGAATTACAGTATCTAGATTTCCTAACTTGTCGTGCCGTGTAAATTGATTGTACTATGCTTCCTTTGTGATCCTGCTGTCATTATTCTAATATCTTATTATATAGTATATATTGTATCTATATAATATGTCTTATATCATGAAGTCTTTTTATTTCCTTATAGGATTATTTTTTGGCTAACTTTTTCCATCCTCTCCATTAAATTCATCTCACGTCTCTGTTTCTTTGTTGAGGCATAGGTGGGTTGGTTGGGTCAGACAGTCATAATCAATCCTTTTTGTATTTGGTCAAACTTATTAATCTGTCGCCTTTTTTTTCTGGATTCTAGGTGACATTCATGGACAGTATGGTGATCTTCTGAGGCTTTTTGAATATGGTGGGTTCCCTCCGGAGGCTAATTATTTGTTTTTAGGGGACTATGTTGACCGTGGCAAACAGAGTTTGGAAACTATATGCCTTCTACTTGCTTACAAAATTAAATACCCGGAGAACTTCTTTCTGTTAAGAGGGAATCATGAATGTGCTTCTATTAACCGGATATATGGATTTTATGATGAATGCAAGCGCCGATTCAATGTGAGGCTGTGGAAAACCTTCACTGATTGTTTTAACTGTCTTCCTGTGGCAGCTCTCATAGATGATAAAATACTTTGCATGCATGGTGGTCTTTCTCCTGATCTGACAGACTTAGATGAGATAAGAAATTTACCTCGTCCAACAGATATTCCAGACTCCGGTTTGCTTTGTGATTTACTTTGGTCAGATCCTAGTAGGGAAGTTAAAGGTTGGGGTATGAATGACAGGGGTGTCTCATACACCTTTGGTTCTGATAAAGTGGCAGAATTCTTGATGCAACATGATATGGACCTTGTTTGTCGTGCCCATCAGGTATTTCCTTTTTAACTTTTGGTCTCCTCTTTTTAATTCCTTGTGTTGACTAAGACATTCTCTTACCTAGGTTGTGGAGGATGGCTATGAATTTTTTGCTGAAAGGCAGCTAGTCACTATATTTTCTGCACCAAACTACTGTGGCGAATTTGATAATGCTGGTGCTATGATGAGTGTGGATGAAAATTTGATGTGCTCTTTTCAGATTCTGAAGCCAACAGATAGAAAACCTCGGTTCTTATGAAGCAAAAGGTGATAGCTTATATCTGTGTCTCCCAGGGGCATCTAAGGTCAGTGTATTTGACGCATAGGTCAATCACTCTATGTAATGACCATATCAAGAAACCTCTGTCGTTGATTGATCTTGTTTCTGTGCCATAAATAAAAAATGCCTGTGCTGATCTCATGTTATGCATATACACCAGAGCTGGAAAATGCCTCCAGCTATCCCTTCTTTAAAAAAAGATGTGGTTATGGGTCGTGCTTGTCATTTCCCTTCCCTGCTAGAAAAAATGAATGTTATTTGTTGATATTCTTTCCTTGGCATTTCATTCATATTGACCATTCTTTAACTGGAAAAGTTAACCTGCTTCAAGACCTAAAAGTTTAGCCGCGCGTAATGTTACTATTTTATATGGTTAAGTTTACCATCTTTAAATCCTAAAAGCTTAACTACACGTAATGCTACTATTGTATATCATATTGATGTTTTACATTTTACTCTATTCATATTGTCCAACAACTGTTTTAGAGATGGCAATAGGGCAGGGCGGGTGAAGCATTGCCCTGCCACAAATTCAACCCGCCCTGCCCCCATTTAAC